CTTCACTGAGTTACGCAAGCCCCTTCGCCACGACAAGGCAGTGATCCATGAAGGGGTGAGAGAGAGTAACTGGTCCAAAGTCTTCAAGTAAGCTTTCATGGACGAGAGTGGCTAGAACCTGGATCTCCTGCTCCTAGTCCAACCTCTTAACTATTATACCATAATGGCTCCTGAGCAGATTTCATCACATGCGCAAACTGGTAATCAGATAATGAACATAATAAAGAACTTCTAGCCAATTTAGGTGCTATTCACTGGATATACAGTTGATCACGCTGAGTATATCCTTAGTCTTTTTTGAGATATAATTATATCCTGTTAATCCAGAACAGTTTTTCCCCATGGAGAGCCTTAGGATTTCCTTTCTGCCTTTATTTCTCTTTCTGTTCTCCTCTAATACTGATCTGCTTGCTTTTTTAGTTCAAATTATTTCTTCTTTGACACTTTTTTTCTTTTGATAGTTAAACTGTTTCTTATCCCATCTACCTCAAGATAACAAAAAGGGACTGATTCTAAGCCTCTGCCCTTGTTTACATATACTGCCTTTCCCATTTTTATTCTTTCTTATTTAAAGTTTATTAGCCATATTTTCTCTTCTACTGTTTTTTGTAGCTCAGTATTGATACCAAATTGGTATTTGATACCAATTCCTCTTTTCTACCTAAATCTCACTGAATCTTACTTTTAGATAGTGATTTCAGTTTTGACTATCATTTGTAAGCTTAACAGCTGTATTACAATAAATATTTTCCCTATGTGATTTTGAGGCCAAATCAATTAACGGATGTTATGTCTTTCATAACATGGAGAGATTTTGCTGTGGACTGAGATATTTTTCACACTACCATCCATTTAAAAATCAGCTTGCAAATCCCAAGGATACTGATTTAATCAGCCAGGAGGGGCAAGGACCTAGTAAGCAGGACTAATGAAACTGGTCAATACAAGACTGTCCCATTGGTTAAGGGAGATAATCAATGCCATATTATGGGAGAGATGTATTCTCTCATGCCTAAAGAAGGCTTGATGTCAGGGAGTGGTTTTTCATCCTCAGCTGTCACTAATTCACAGGTGATAAGCTGGTAGGGTGCCTTGCTTTTCCACAATTATATCTAGTGTGCCAGCTATACTCCTTCCTAAACTGACTGGACTTAGGATGATTATCCATACCTTAGTTACATCCCATACTGACTACTGCAACATGGTGTGTGGGGGGATGTCCTTGAAATGTTTCTGGAATTTGCAGTTGATAGGGAGGAAAATAGTTTATAAGGAAATCATTGGAAAGTCAGAAAGGGCCTGTACTTAAAATGGAATCTGCACATTTCCCACCAATCCACTGTCTACCTCTAAACCCCATATAGGTTTTGTAACAATAATTAACAAAGGGGACATAAAACGCTGAATTTACATCTGCATTTATTCCTTTTGCTCCGAATAAAAACTTTTTACTCTTTTATGTACTGTCTTTCATTGTGCCAGCCTTCCTCCGGTGTCCACTGACACACTACTCATGGTTAAAGAGTAATTTTTTCTTCCTTTTTCTAAGGGAAATACAGGTTTTAATATTAAGCAACAAATATTAGATTTTAAAAAGAATAAGGTTTATTTTTATGGGACTGATTATGATGAAAAAGACTCTTAGAGTCTGGAGTTTAATATTTGTGTTTTGCTGATGTTCAATAACCTTCTGTTAAAACATGCATACACCACTGTATTTCTTTATCACTTTTAGAATGTTATCCTACCTTACATAAATATAGATGCAAGTTTTAGTGAGTCTAGCAAGTCACTGTATTCCTGTCAATTGCTTTTAGTATAGTTTTGAAAACTCATGGTTGAATTTTAAGCTAAACTCTTCCTGATTTATGCTTCATTCTCTTAACTGTTACACCAAATTAATTCTTGGGAGCATCTACACTTTATAATTTGCAAACAAAGCTAGTTCTTCTTGAAAAAATTGAGATAAGTTCAGTAACAGACATCATTACCTGCATATGGTCTCCAGCCAAGACAATTCTTGTATTTTTATTTGCTAGCGCTAAAGGCATGATAGTCTCACACTCCATTGCCTGTGCAGCTTCATCCAACAGAATATGTGTAAAAAACCCTACAAAGCAGATACAGGCAAAATGTTAAGTAGCAACCAATGAAAGCTGTGATAATCTCATGAAAACATTTAGGTTTGGTCCTGTGAAAGAGACTCAGTCTCAGCTCTAATCAACACAAAAAGTCTCTGATAAGATAGTTTTGACAAGCTATTTCCAGTCAGTATATTTCTGTCTTGCTAGTCTATCAAAGGTGAGGCAGGGAAAAATTAAAAATCTTTAGACAAGCAAAAGATATCCCCTGGCAACTCCTTTTCCCCATCTACACTCAAATCTGAAAGAAATAAGGCAAGGTGCATGAAACACACTATTTATAAGAGAACTGGTTTCTGCCTTCCCTGATCTTGACATATTAGAAAGAGAGATAGAAGCTGATACTGAATATGGAAATAACTTTAAATCATGTTGCCCTTAATCCTCATTAGCAGTTGCTCTGACCCACAGCTTGGAGGAGAGGACCTATTGCCACTGACATTCATGGGCTCTCTGTCACCTGCTTACTTTTCTAATGTTTTGAATTGGAGATATTGATACAGACTTTGAGAGTTAACTCGTTATTCTGGGAAGGATGTGACTGTCCTTTTTAGTGCACCAGGAGAGGGGAAAGCATACTAATAGAAATTAAAAGACCATCTTAGCAGAAAGACGTACACTTTATGAGTGTTTTCCCACAATCAGATGGTCCTCTATCCTACCTATGCTCCTTTTAAAACTCAGTGCAGCATTACTGCTGGAGGTAGAGGATAAAGAGTTCCTGTGAGCTACAGAAAATCCACATTTCACTCAAGGCTTTCTTTGACTGCTGATATGGAGTGTCAGCATTTACTGCTGGATACACTGAAATAATTTTGGATGCTTCCCATCAATCTCTCACACCTGGTGTTGTCCAGTATATTGTTTCCAAATTTTATAGTGTGGTGCTATCTGACTCAAACAAAATATAAAGTGTGTTGTATTTTTAATTGTTAATCACTTTTCTTTTCCTGACAATATATAAATGCCAGTTATTTATTGATCGATAGAATACTTTGTGAAAATTATCTGGGCCAAAACAGAATGAAAAGTATGGATTTGAAAAATGTCAGATTAATTTACATGCAAATAAATAATAAAATCCAGTTGGAGAAAAATATCACCTTTCAAATTTAAAAATGCCAGATTATACAAAAATTTCTGATTGGAAAAAGAGAAAGAGAGAACATACAGCTACAGTATACAAAAATTGATCAAAATGTTCATTCAGGGAAAGGATAATCCTCAATTTGGAAGAGACTACCTCTGATATTCATAATAAATTCCTGCAAGAAATTGAAAAATATCTTAAAAGATATTATAATTAAAATTTCAATTGCTTATTGGGCTTCAACTATTATTATGAACAACCAATGCTGGATTTTATTTTTGAATAGCTCATTACATCTGAATGACTTATTTCTTAACAAAAAATAGTATTACTCATGTATGAACAAGTAAAGGAGGTAGAGCTCCTGCTAAAATATCAGAGCAAATCAGAGGATACAACACTGAAGTACTTTCTTGATCAGATGGGAATACAGTGGTACCTCTACTTACGAACTTAATCCGTTCTGTGATTCTGATCTCAAGTCGAGTTGGTCTCAAGTC